ATGAATTATTAAGCTACGCAGTTCTCAAATTATTTTCTTCATACTCTGTGAAGTACCTTCAACAAGGCAATCTGTCTCTTTCCTTAATCACAGCAATACTGGTCAGAGTGTTACTGAATCTGGGATAAAATGGTAATAACAGGAGAGAGAGAGAAGTATCACCTACTGCTACTGCCCTAAGATGATTGGCACTGAGCTTAAAACATATGTACTCTTCCCTCTTTAAAAAAACACTCATCATGAAGGAACCAGCTTTGTCAGAAAGCACCAGCAGCCATTACCCCAAATGTAACCACACATCCCTCAGATCTGCCACAGGCAAGACAGTCTGGGAAGTTTACAGTCTTTTTTAATGTGAAATTTCATAATTTGGAGTAGTTACACTGTGGTCCTAGAGGAGCTTATCACTGAGTACCACTGCAGTCTTATGCTACCCACAGCCATCTGCAAGCCTGTGGTAGTCTGGTTCGTGGTGGGGAGTTTTGGTGGGTTTTGGGGCGGTTCGGTTTGGGGTTTGCGTTTGGTTTGGGGTTTCTTTTGGTGTCAGGGTGATTCTCTTACAGTCTCAGCCTAAGTACATCAATAAATACACTTACCTTCAGACATTCTTCCCCCAGGCCTATCCAGCTCTCCTGGGAGTTCAAGCAATGCATAGGAGTTCTTATAAGTCCTCCAGAGGCTGAGAAACACAGAATGAGCAGACTAAAGGGGAAAAAAAATCCCCAAAATAAAAATGTTAAATAGCACTGCCTTGCTAACTTCTGTGCAATCACAGGAAAAGAAAGACATGGTAGCACTGGATTAAGTCAGAGTGATACAAAACAAAACATTATGGCTGATCATACTTAAATCTGATCTGGTTAACAACAGTAAAATAAAGGATATGTGCTAGGAGAGCATGAATCAGACTTCACATAACCTGGCCGCATAACTACAGCTATCAGATATTTAAAATAAAATCCTTGATAAAAGGAAAACAGAAAATAATTGGAATAGTATTTTCCATGATAAAACAAACATGGTCAGATTAAAATGTCCTATTTTCATTTAGGAGGGTCTAAGGATACATACGCAGTAATGAACTAAATAGTTAATCGGATAACTGTAGAATAAAGTGGGCACCCTTTACAGGCATTCGTGTGCCTTTTTAATTAGATAAGAGTTTGCATGTAAAACAAAAATAAAACCAAAACAGTTTTGCTTTTTTTCCTTAGTAGATTTTCTCCATTAGCAGGAATTAAAAGATACTAAAAGAAAACCCCAAAAGTAGGAAAACCTGTATTTGCTCAGATCTCAGAAGGGACAATTTTAAAGAAAAATTTCATAGGAAAAAATAAAATCAACATAAGTACCTTCCATGCCAAATTTCTAGTCTGTGGTTCATTTTTCCTCTTTCTTCATCAAATCAGTCAAGTTTGTGTACAGGATATATACAATATACACAGAGTGACAAAGATAGGAAGTCTTTTAATTACATCCAAGGTCATGGAATTTAAATGGGCAACAAGTCTTCCAAATTTTTTTCTGCTTACACTATCATATTACGTTTTCTTTTTGCAAGCATTATCTCTTAAGGGAAAGAATCTGCTGTCAGCAACTGCAGTATTTTCTGCAAAGTCGTTCCACCACCTTGCAAAGATATTTCAAACCATAAAAGTGATTTACAACAACAGTTTACAACAAAATGCTGCACAAGTTATATGAGAGAAGAGCACAATATATCAATATGTAAAGAGTAAAAAAGATCCTGCAAAAATATTAGTAACAGCTTGTAAGAGTTCTGCTGAGTCACAGCAGGCCTAAAAGCTCAAAGACTCTTATGATTTCAAATAGCAACACAGTTTACGAAGCGGTGATCAAGCTTAAGAACTCTATAAAGACCCTGTGAAGATCCTAGCTGAAGAATAATGAATTAGAGAATTAAACTGACTTCACAATACAGGTTGTGAAAACCATCTCTATATAACAGATAACCTCTTCACCCAAGAGAGGTATTTGCCTTGTACTTGCCAGTAGAAGCCACAACACCATCTTACAGAAACACAGTTACTGTTGGAAGCTCAGAAAGCCACAAAGATGTGTACTTAAAAGTGAGCGGCTGTACAGAGGAATAACTCTGAAGATGACCCGAGTTTTCAGCTGCATCCACACCAGCAAGGACACATAAACAAACACTTTTCTACTCCTTTTTCTACATTTATTTATTTATTTATATGTGTTCCTTCAACTTTCTGCTTATCCCAACTATTTTATTCTTGCTAGTGGCTATGCACAGCTATAAAATACTGAAGATATTAACTGCTGAGGTAAGGATAACTGCATCATTTGCAGGGCATCTGTTGATACAGATTGCGTATTGCAAAGGAGCTCATTTTATGTCGAAGTATTGAGATGAATATGGATCCTTGCAAAATCATTAATACAGATTCTCTAGGACAAAAAGCACACCATAGAATTAAAGGTCTTTTGTTCTCACAGTTAACATCTACTGAGTCTATTCTGAAGCAGGTACGCTTTCAATGCACCAGCTGCACAGAGGGAAAGTTTGTGTGATGAAATGGAGAGGACTGCAATCCCTGTTCTGTCCTTTTTAATTCTGTCTTTTCAAATGACATGATGAACCCAAGTGGAAAGCTATGCTCTGCATGTCTGGCCATGTGGCAGAGAGGAAAATGTAATTGATTATTCCTATTAGGAAACTGGTTTTGCCAGAAGTATCAGGTTTATTCAGTTTCATCCATGAAATGAAATCTGCAGTGTAGTGAAGTATCCTATCTTTATTCCATACATAGCTTGAGCCGACTATAAGTATTTCAACAACAGCAGTAATAAAAAATGTAACATTAACTTAATTGGAAAATTAATGGAAAGAGAAGGAAGGATGCTGTGATCAAAACCTCAGATCTTTAAATGCTGATCATTGCTTTTACCACTTCTGTTTGCAAAAATGTGAAGAGTTGCTTCAAGACCATCAAAAAGGAAGAATGGCTAGAAAAAGACAGATGTAGTCAACATGAAGAGATTCAAATAATGGCCTCAAACGGAAAAAAAAAACCAACCAAGCTATCTTACAGCTTCTCTTTTATATCAGTCTAATAATAAATTACTCTTCTGTGCTTAATCACTCCTTGCAGAAACATTTCTTTCTGGGTACCCAAATACCGGATATGTTCAGACTCCAGATATGTTATCACTGCAGTGTTTGTAAATGTGTCAGTATCTGCTGAATTTAAGGTTCAAGAAAGATACAAAACCATACAAGCAAATTACCCAGTGAAACAGACCCTCAGATTGTATATTGTTTGTAAGCAAACACTCAGACAAGATCTCTACATTTGCCTCCCCAAAAGACATGGATTTTTCATTAGTATATCAGTAGTCTATTATTGTCTGTGCAAATTTGAAACTTACTAGCAAACTATACAATTTCCATGCACAAACATTTATTGCATAAGCTATCATTAAATTTTTATTTTTAGAAAATGTATCAGTGCAATGAGGTGTCATCTGAAAAACAGCTTTAGAAAATCAGCCTTAGGCAAAAAAATGCCAAATCAATGCGTGATGCTGTCAAGCAATGAAACATATCTGAAATTTGAAGGCAACAGTGTCACATTTCTATACATGGAAAGCTACTAACCCAAAGTAACAGGAGATTTAAGAAGTGATTAGTGATGTTCCTGTCTCTTCAGAACAGCTGTAATTGACAAAAGAAAGCAACCTGACAAAATACAGTTCACTGGTTCCAAAACTGAGATTCTACCTCTCAGCATTAAGCAAGTCTGATAAGACCGGTCACATTGCAGCAGAAGAGTAAGTGATGGCCAAAACTACTCTATTGATTTTTTTTCCTTACATTTGCTCTCAGGAGCATGATTTGAACAGCTTTAAGAGAAGAATCTGTAAACAAGCCTAATAAAGCATTGTAATCTACTGTGAGTTCGATTATTCGGAAGCTTCCCTCATACTACTTTAGTTTTTTCTGATTAGAAATGCAGTGGTTCAAGTACCTGGCTAACAGCCTGTTAGAAAATCTTGTAGAATCTTGTAGTATAAAGAATGGAGAAGACTCTGTGAATGAGTCTTCTTTCAAATTGGGAAATAGCAGAAGAGAGAGCCAAAATGGTCAGGGTGGAAATATAAGCCTAGAGGAATCAATTCTGTTTACCTTTTCTCTCTCAATTGCTTACCTCTTCTCTCACACACTTAATGACTTCAAATAATGACAAGTTTAAAAGGTGCAGAAAGAATCTTCAAGGAAATACCTGAGAAAATACAGAACTTCACCAGCTGTCTCCTGCTTACCTTGCTGTCACACACCTGGAGACTTTCTGCACAGTGAACACACAAGGGAATGTGCTTGGTGTGTTGGGTCCACAGCAAAGGCTAGCCAACAGGGTCATGTTGTAGGTGAGGAACATTCAGGAGCACCTTCTCCATGAGTCACACCCAATCTAAAGCATTATACAAATGATATTCAAGATAATTTAGAGAACTTTAATAAATAATGTAGCCTTGCATCTTTGGCAGCATTTAAAGTTCAGCTGAGGTATATGCTCGAGATGAAAGCTAGCCAGAGGACTTTTTTAATTTAAAATCCATGCATTTTCACACTGGTGCCTGACTTTACTCTCACTATCAGCTTGAACTGACGCTTAATGGCTCTCAGCAAGATATGCACTGGGACCACACAGTATGTTATTATCTCACCTTAGAAATAAAGAAACACTGCCAAAACAGTGTGTAAACTTCTGCTAATGATGAGGGGGAAAAAAAAAAAAAAAAAAAAGAAGCTGTGACACAAACAGAATGACAGATAATGGCAAATATTCTAGAAGCCTAATGACTCTTTTAATATCTAAGAAAGGCTGCAGATCTGCAGCAGCAGGGTAAGCAGGAGGCAACAACGATGACTGGAAAGTCTCTGGAAGGAGTTCCAGGCACTGAATGCTTTGCTATAGCTCTTTTGAGTACCTGATGTCAAACACATGAAAGTATATGTCCTGGGTTCAGCAGTAGCAGTCATTTTTTTCTCCTTCTTAGTAGCTGGTGCAGCGCTGTGTTTTTGACTTTTGGCCTGGGAACAGTGCTGATAACACTGATGTTTTTAGTTACTGCTCAAATGTTTACTCTGACCAAGGACTTTCTGAGCCCCATGCTCTGCCAGGGAGGAGGGGAAGCCGGGAGGAAGCAGAGACAGGACACCTGACCCAAAGTGACCAAAGAGGTATTCCATACCACAGCACGTCATGCCCGGGTTGTAACTGAGAGTTACCCGGAAGGTCTAGTGCACTGTAGGGTTGGACGAGGTATCGGTTGGTGCTCTGTCAGGCAGGGTGAAGTGAGTTATCGGTCAGCGGGTGCTGAGGTGTTGTATTCTCTTCCCTTGTTATTTCCTTTATCATTACTATTATTGGTGGTAGCAGTAGTGATTTGTGTTATACCTTAGTTACTGAACTGTTCTTATCTTAACCCATGGGAGTTGCATTCTTTTGATTCTCCTCCCCATCCTTCTGGGAGCAGGGGGAGGGCAAAAAGGGGGGGGGGGAAAGAGACTGCATGATTTATGGCTGACTGTATTTAAACCATGACAATATGAAAGATACCATATGAGATAAACATGGCAATAAGCTACTTCAGTCAAACATTTCAGCTTAATCTCTATTGCTCGGAAACTCAGGCATGATCACCTACTTACACTCCTGATGCTTTTAAAGCATAAATTAAAATTCTTTTCTTAGTCAAAAGTATCCAATTTCTTTTGATTTTCACTGACATTTTTCTTTTATTTTTTTGTCCCAGGGCAACAAGAATGAATGAATCCAATGCCCAAGGAAAATATGTCATACATTAAACACACCTCTCCTTCTTCAAAAAAGAAATTTGACTTTGACAGTAGCCTACAATGTGCAAATCCTACTATGAAAGCGTAAAAACTAAAATGCTTGGTTCCAAAGCCTTTTTAAAGGAAAATAGTCTTAACAGTGGAGGGTTTGGTGGGGTTTTTGCTTGAAGCACAACCTATTCTGCATGGAAGTGTCCTTCTATCAAGACAGCATAAATAGCTTCCTGATACTTGTTATCACCCATTAATTTTCACTGACATCAAATGTTTTTATTACCAAGGAAAATGCAAAACTTCTCATGCTTAATCCATTTACATTTTTTATATATTTAAATGCTCTTATTTTTTATCATCTCAGATACTTAGGTATTACTGCATACCTGTTTTTATGCCTGACTTTGCTTCTAAAAGAAATCAACTTTTATTACCATTTTCTGTACTGCTATAATATCTTTTTTTTATGATGCAGTAATTAGAAGTCAACATACTACTCTATGGAAGAATTTAACAAGAAATTTTATTATCTCATTACTTTTTCTGTACCATTGAATTTCAGCTTCATGATGACTGGATTGCTGGAGAACCTTAATTTTTACCATAGTTATAGGTGAACAAAATAACACTTAAAAATTCTCGACAGGCTAGGTTTTTCTTCCTTGAGCATGAAACACATGCAAATGCAATTGAAATTAACTGTCAACATAAAGAAGTTACTCAGAATTCTTCTGCTGTCCTGAAGTTGTTCCTTCCAACTTTAAAATCTACTTATTTAAGACAGGCAGAAAATGGGGAATTTTAAAAGTCATGACAATAGGGACGTAGGGAACTGAAAGCATAGTTTTGTCACCAACTCTGATGGAGATAAAAATATTAAATAAATTTATATGCAATTATTTCATACTGGGGGCGAGCTCTGCTTCTGATAACATTGAGCCAGTGTATGTTATGTTCTAACTCATAAGATATAAATGTAGTGGAGTATCTTAAATTAAAAAAAAATTGAAAACACAATAAATGGGATAAAGAATTTCACCTGCATTTTAGAAATCAGATTCTTTTGTGTCCTTATCATCTAATAATGACAGAAATAAAATGTGGTACTCACATAAAAGCTAAACCAAAGATGATGTATATGTTCCCCAATCAGGTATTACGTAATACTTCTTTGATTAACTCTACAATAGAATGTCTCACATGTGCCTAAATTGATTTCATGTGGTAACTCAAAACCTTTTTTGCAACCCATGAGACATTAGAACATTATGTACCAACCTCCAGAAAAATGTGAATTTTTTTGGGGGGGTGTTGTTCCAGATTTATTCTACAGCTTCTAGGGAATTTTTCCTACCAGAAGGCCATTGTTTTAAACGCATCTTTCAGAAAAGGAAAGCTGGTTTTGCAATGAAACTTTTGTCATGGCTGTGGCTTTCCTTTTATGTTCAGTAAAACCAAGAAGTGTGGTGTATCACGACACAGACTCAAGTTGATGAGGAGACTCAAATCCAACTTTATTACAATCAAGCCCTTTTTATCTTCCTGTTCAGTACTTCCCGAACCTGCACAAATATGCCACGTTCAATTTCACTGGCCCCAGTAAAACTCTCCAGGTAAATAGTCCAATCACAATGCTGAGCACACGTTCACAACAGCTTCACCCCGCTGTTTCAGACCCTCTGGCAACCCCTGTATCGGCTGGCTCCAACTGAGACTCCCACCACAACAACATCCGGGCCCATCCTCCCGAAGCTTGTTTTTCGACCTTTCCTGTGCTTCAACATTCCAACTTACCGCCTCAGGACTTGTTAAGCATTAAGGCCTCAGAGCCCATTCGCAGACTGTTTTTCATGAAAATCTTACCCCTTACTCCCCACAAAGCACGGCAACGTTGCATGCAAAGAAAAATCAACGTCAGGAGCAGTAAGAATGGAATAAGAATGCTGCAACCTCAATGCAATCTGCTTTTAAAACCTCTACAGAACCATCATGCCAGCACCCATTCCAGGCTTCACAGCATCTACATCTTCCCAGACACCCCCCAAAAAATCACAGCTATGTGCTTTTTGATTACCTACATTGCTTGCACCCATTTCAAGGTTTTTGACTGCATTAGCATATTCCATTTAAAGTAATGAGTTCTTTTCAGAAGACAAAACCTCATATTAATACTCCAGGACAGCCATAAGAGCTCTTCAGAACAATGTGTCAATTATCACATCACTTTTCTTATTCACCAAATAGATTCTGGAATTGGCCTCATTCACCTACTTCTGTCAAGTTCCTTAATGGCTATTTTTATCTTGGCTGTTAAGTCTGAAGTAGGTAAAGGAAGTTCAACAGCTAAGGTCTGTAGCAACAGCTAGAGCTTTGATTTTAATTTGTCACCTTACTTGCATTGCCCTTTCTAATAAAGTACTGGGCATTCTCAGAATTTATGTTACCCTTGTCATATATAATTTCCATTGACAAGTCTACATTGCTGGCCATTATGCTGCAAAGGGCAAAAAACAAGGCTTCATTTGCTGAAGTCAGGTATGATTCCAGGACTGCGTCTCCATATTACATGCATTCATAAACAAGGTATCACTTAAAACAGGCAGTCTAATATATTTGCCAAACATTTAATAGACCTTTTACAGATAATAGAAACACAGTATATGCCTTGGCAGGCCCCAGAGAACACATTCAATGTAAAACCTATTGAATAAAACCAGGTTTGCTTAGATATGATAATGTCTGACATTTAAACTGTTCTTCAGCACTCTGAAATGCTTCCTCCCGCCCCCCCCATCTTTATCCTTGCCAAAATTTTTTGTTTGTGTGTGTGTTGTGTTTTTGTATGCAGGTAAGATCAAAATTGCAGTAAAAAAATACAACATCAGTTCAACCTCATTGTCACCTGCAGCTGAGGTAGGTCTGTGGGCTAAACAGTCTGTCAGAAAAGGCAACATCCACACTATCCATTTTAACAAATCCATACCTCTGGTTAATCATTCCTTTTAATTTCTAAAGATACTACAATGGGATAATTGGAAATGGAAATAGCCATGTGCTTCCAAGCTAACCTTACAAAAAGCATTTAAAAATATAGGAACAGTAACGCAAAAGGATAATCCCTAACTTGAACATTTATCATTCAAATTTCATTGTGCTAAATTTTACCTTTCATTAAACTGAAAGCTCATTATTTTTAAAAGAGCTCAGAAAAAGAGTAGGAAGAACAAAAGCAGGCACTGTGTGTGTGCATACACTCACAATCCAATCTCATAAGGTAAATGACAAATCAAATTCTCATGCCTTAGCAGAAAGCATAATAAGGCAAAGGATATTTGCCTTAAACCAAAATACTAACAGAAATACTGCTTTTGTTTCCTCTACCTACAAGCATATGCTCAAGAAAATAACACAGGTATGAGAATAACAAAGTCAGATCTATTTCAGGCTTTGCCAGTAACTTCCTGTGGACATTTGAGGATGTGATTTTTGACATCAGTTGACCCATCTGATGATCATTATTTTTCCTACCCACTGTACTTGAAAAGGTCATTGTTACTTCCATTATTTTTCCTACCCACTATACTTGAAAAGGTCATTGGTACTTGTATTAACCTTTTTTCATTATACTAAAAAATTGCCAACAAAACACTAACAAAATAGGAAATCCGCTATTCCACAGCAGAGCTCTCAGCTTATTCCCAGACTGGGAGGGAGCCAACAAAAACAACCAAAAGCTACAAATCCCCCCAATCTTACCCATTGTTTAATAAACAAATGTAAATATAGAGTATTTCTTTAAAGTTCACCCAAAATTCTACCAATCTGAGACTTCTAACAAATTCCCAAATCATTATATATTCACGTATTCAACAGTGGTCCTTAATACAGTACAAATCTGATACTTCTGCATTACATACGTTCTAGTGACACGGATTTTTGTATCACAGAGAAGCCAAATATGTTATGACTAACTTGGTAGTTCGCAGAGTAACTAAACAAAGCAGGTAGCGCTATTTCACATTTTACGCTGCCACCTGATGGATATTCGAAGTTATCACCACTACTCAACAACCGTGCAAGAAACGAGCATTTCTAAACCAATTACGGAGCACACTTTCTCTGTCTGAAGACGTAACACACTATTCACCCTGCATAAAAGAGTGTCAAAGTTTCTTTCTAGACTCTCATACAACTTCATATTAAGAACCAACTATTTCCTTCTACTGAGGGCTGAAGCCTTTGCTATTAAAGAAGAATTTGGAACAGACAGTTGTGGCTTTCTCTATGTAGGAATATGCTGTTATCTAAAGAAACATAAAATCCTAAAACAGTCCTTTGGCATTTCTCCAGCATATATTTGCTTTCAAGCTGTTAACTGTAGTGATTTT